GGGGTAGTAGACCTGGAAGGAGGCCTCAACCTGAAGGCCGCTTTGAAGAACCTGGAAATCAAAGGATCCGAAGCCCATGAGATGTTGCACAAAGCTGAGAGTGCCGCAGACTGAACCTCTAAGGTGCTGAGACTAAGGCCCTTGTCCAGGCCCACTTGCAGAAACTCCAAAACTTCCGTATTGCTAGGATGTAGAAAGTCCACACCATTGGACGATGCCCAAGACTGGAACACATCCCAGACCCTATGGTAGCATGAGGAAGTGGAAGCCTTTCTAGAGAGCAGAAGGGTATTGATCGCAGCCTCCGAGAGGCCTAGTACTTGGAGTCTTTCCTTCTCAAGATCCATACCCCCAGTTTGAGGCGTTCTGGATGAGGATGGAATACCGGACCCTGTGTAAGCAGATCCTCCATCACTGGCAGAGGCCAAGGCTGTTCCTGGCTCATCGTGGTCAATAGGGGGAACCACGGTCTCCGAGGCCAAATTGGGATTACGGCAATGACTTTCCTGCCTTCCGACCAAACCTTCCTCAGGAACCTGGGTATCATAGGTAGGGGAGGGAAAGCATACCCCAGATCGAACGACCAAGGGAGAGAGAGAGCGTCTTGGCCCAGAGCCTGACGGTCCGGGTGGAGAGAGAAGTAATTCTCCACCTGGTGATTCTGAGATGATGCCATCAGGTCGATCTGGGGCATGCCCCACCGATGAACAATTTCTGCAAAGATCGCCGGGTGAAGATGCCATTCTCCCGGAAGAATTTCCCTTCTGCTGAGGAAGTCTGCTGTTACGTTCTCCGAGCCTGGGAGATAAAAGGCCTTTAGACCTTGAAGAGACGTCATTGCTATAACCATTAAGGGAGCGAGTTCTTCCAGCAGCAATCTGCTCCTCGTGCCACCTTGGTTGTTCACATACGAGGCCACCGCTCGGTTGTCCGTTTTGATTAGGACCCAAGAGTTCTTTAGCCTCGGTAGGAACCTCAAAACGGCCTTGTAAACCGCTCTCAGTTCTCTCAAATTTGAGTGTAGGTGACTCTCTTCTAGGGTCCACTTCCCTTGAGTCCATACCGAGCTGAAGTGGGCACCCCATCCAAAAGAACTGGCATCTGTCGTAATAACCTTCCAAGGGGGGTCTTCCAACGGGAAGCCAGTCGTCAAATTCTTCTCGCTCCTCCACCAGTTTAAGGTTTTTCTTACCGGAAGGGGAAGATATATCACCTGTTCCCAATTTGCTTCCACTCTGTTGAACTGGAGAAGGAAGCAGTACTGAACTGGACGGAACTTCCACTGGGCCCACTTCACCAAGCCTATTGTAGACGTCAAGGAACCTAGGAGGCTCATGACTACTCTTGCAGGTGCCGCTTCGAGATCTTGTAGTCCCCTCACTTTGTCTCTGATCTTCTCGACCCTTTCTGGAGACAGGAACACATGTGCAGACACGGTATTCACTACCGCCCCCAGGAAAATAATCGTTTGCGCAGGAACGAGGGAGCTCTTTCCCAAGTTCAGGAGCCAACCATGGTCTTGAAGAATGGACATTGCGACTAACGTATGTTGAGCCACGATTTCTTGAGATGGACCCAGGATAAGAATGTCGTCCAAGTAATGGAATATCTCGATACCCTTTACCCTTATAAAGGCTATTAAGGCAACCAGAACTTTTGAGAACGTTCTTGGAGCCAGACTGAGGCCAAACGGTAGACCCCGGAACTGGAAGTGCCTTCCTAGCGCCCAAAATCTGAGAAAACGTACATGATCTTGATGTATCGGAATATGATAGTAGGCGTCCCTTAAATCTATTGAGGTCATCCAGTCTCCTTTTTTGACACACTTCAAGATGGTCCTCAAGGATTCCATTTTGAACGTCCTTACATTGAGCAAGGAGTTCACGCCTTTCAAATTCAAGATGAGACGCCATTTTCCTTGAGGTTTTGGGGCCAAGAAGACCGTGGAATAAATTCCTTGAAACCATTCTCGTTTGGGAACTTCTTCCACCACTCTTTGTTCCAGGAGCACAGAAATGCAGGATCTCATGGCCCTTCGTTTGATGCCTACCGGCACCTTTGATTTTTTGAAGAATGCAGTTTTTGGTTGAGACGAGAATTCTATTCTGTAACCTTCTTTCACGATGGAAGTGACCCATAGGTCTGAAATATTGCTGGCCCATCTGGGGTAAAAGAACTTCAGTCTTCCTCCCACCATCCCCGAACGGGCCTGGGGACCTTCAGAAGTTCTTTCCTGAGGTTCTAGGACCCCTTCCCCTGGAAGCTTTATTGGAAGATGAGTGTGGATAGGATTTCCATGTGGAATTCCTGGAAAACTCCCTACCTGGCTTATAGCTTCTGCTGTCCCGAAAGGACCGATCCTTAAAGCGCTTGGTCTTCCAGGAGGAGGGAAAAGTCTTCCTGCCAGATTGAGGTAAGAACGCCTTCTTCCCATCAGCAGCTTTTTGAATAGCCTCTTCCAGAATCTTTCCAAAAAGGAGATCCCCTTGAAACGGAAGAGCACAGAGGGAAGCCTTAGAGGCATAGTCAGCACCCCATGAATGAAGCCACAAAGCCCTTCTAGAAGCCACAGACAGGGCCATGCTTTTAGCAATCATGCGAGTGATATCCAGGGAGGCTTCTGAACAGAATTCCGTGGCTAGGTTAAGGTCCTTGAGGCTTTCCAACAGATGTTCCCTTCGGACACCTTGCTCAATGTCATCCTTCAGATTAGTGAGCCACACTTTCAAGGCTCTGGAAAGAGTCGTCAGTGCCACTGCCGGATGAAGAGCGGACCCAAGGGCCAAGTAGGCTTTAATTAGGTCTCCATCCAAGCGCTTCTCCATAGGCTCCCTGAGATATGCCATAGAGTCTATAGGCAGTGTAGTTTTCTTAGCCATATGGATCACTGCCGCGTCAATTTTAGGAACAGAGTTCCACAGACCGCAATCCACCGCAGAGTATGGATAAACCCTCGCAAACTTATATTTTAAGGTGGACTTCTTTTCAGGCTTATTCCATTCTTGAAGGATCATATCCCTGATTGACGTATGTACTGGGAAAGTAGGTCTGTTAGGCTTTAGGTCCTCAAAAAACCTGTCAGCCTCCTTCAACTCAGATCTTTCTTCCGTGAGACTAAGTGTGTCTCTAATAAGGGTAATAAGTCTATCCACAGACCTGGAGTCCAGAGACCTGGAGGTATGAACAGCTTCCTCTTCACCATCATCCGATACCTCCCAGACATCAGGGTCCTCATCAGAGCTGGAAGACTGAGGTTCCGCTCTGTGTCTCTTACTCGGACCACTAGTACCCGTGGTGGCCCTAAAGCCCTCAGCAATAGCCTGAGAAATCCAGAGCTTAAGGTCATCTTGTGGAGAGCTCCTACTGGGGGCATCAGCGACTTCCAACAAGCATTCCCTGCAAAGGTTCCTTCCATTCGGAGCGGATGAAGAACAATTAATGCATTTATTTGTCTTATCCCGAGATTTTCTCGCTGGAGAGTCCAAATGAACGCTGGGGCTGGAAAAAAGCCATATATGACATATATTACAGGCTTAGTATGGCACTCTTTTAATAACCCCCCCAACACAAATAATAAATGACTCACCTATGTTTTCTAGAGAGGGATCTTGCAGAGGCAGAGGGAGAATCCATACTACAAACAAGAAGCAAATAAATTCAGGACCAAAATTCCCCAAAGGGAAAGAGGCAGGCTGACCAGCAAAACTTCAACAAAAGCAAGAACCAGCAATCCTACCTTAAGATCAGAGCACCACTATGCATCCAAGAAGCAGAAGCTGGCAAGACTGGAATTCCAAGCTTTTAGGTGAGAACCCAGTAAAAGAGCAGCATGAATAGCACGAAGGGGACTGTATTAATCCCCTTAAATAGGTCCGGGCGGCGAACAGCTGACCGCCCGGTTCGCGCATGCGCAGAGCGGTGGAACGCACGCTATGCGTTCCACTCGCTCGCGACCGGCAGAACACTTCCGGTTTCGCCGGAACTGGCCGCAAACAGCCGGCTGGAACGCAAATGCGTTCCAGCCCCCAGCCCCAAGCGCAAAAAGGGGCCCCAAGGAGCAGGGAACCCTGGGGCATGTCCCAGGAACAGAGCAACATACCCCCAAGCCAGAGAACAGGGAAGGGGCAAGAAGGAGGCCACAAGAGGAAGGGAGAGAGCTTTCATCATGGATTCCCCAAGAACTGCCTCAAGGTATGAGGGGGGGGGTATATAACCCCAATTAGTAGGGGCAGGTAGAAAACAGGGGAATTTTTAAGGCTTAACCAACCCCACCATAGACCAGAAAATTTAGTGTCTCCCTCAAACACTTACTTCCCACGGTGCAGTTCAGTACTTACACTGAACCTGACCCAGTTAGTCCTGCTCATGCAGGCTGTTTACTGGGCCCTTCAGATGAAGAGAGGCTGAACTTCATTTGGAACGAACCCACGACAAACGCAGGAAGGTGAGCCATAAAATAAAATTGTAAAAAGTCCTGTAGAACCTGCTAAGGACAGGAAAAAAGACTGAGGTGTAAGGGGAGGAGGGACTCTTTATACCTATCAGTCTGATTAATTAATCTAATTAATTCCTGTCCTGTGACTACTAAGGGAGGAGCTACCCATAAGTGATGCTGCCATGATTAGCCAGGAAATAATGTTTTCCTACGGTGAAAAATTAAATGCTCGCATGCCGCTCTTTGAGGCGTATTGAATAGGACCCAGCTGGAGGAGGCCCTTCCTCCTTTGTGACAGCACCTGGGGGAAGGTAAGAAGCACTGATGGAGCCTCCGTAATGGAAACAAGTTAAGTAAGGAAGGAGTTTTAACCTTTTCAGTGGCAAACTGGGGCACACCCGAATTCATGCAAAGGCATTCCTTGCAATATGCATGTCAAAAAGGATGAAAAAAAAAAAGAGATCATAGGTACATAAAAACAAATCATAAGTATATAAGAGCAAGCAGTGCAAAGTATTAAAGATTAAACATATGCCGAAGACCAAGAATATGGCAGCCCCCCCATGTCCGGTGAATCACAGGAAGTGGACACAGTATCTGGCTCAGCCTATCCCTGCCAGCAGAAGTGGTGCGTGAACAGGGGTGATCAGGTAGTGTACTGCAGTAGTACAGAAAACCAGGGTTCTCCCTTGTCCCCAGGCTTGTGTGAGGGCCAGCATCCTTAGAAACCAAGTCCTTTCGCCTTCCTGGGTAAGCAGAGGACACTGGTGGTATGCACTGTTTTCGGGCAAGAAATCCTCTGTTTCAGTGGTTAATGCTTGAAGGCAGTGCCTCGGGTGGCTCTTGGCCCAGGCGGGCGTACGACAGAGTAAACAGGTGCTTGCTGTGCAATAGTGCCCAGGGGAGTTTTGTTCTGCTTCAACTGCTCGCAGCACTCCACTTCTTCCCTCCGCTCAGCTAGGGCTGTCCGCTCACACTCCGGAATCCGCAGCCAGAAGCTGTGGAATATCTAATCTAGGCACTGCATAGTTGATTTAGTTAAACCGCGGTAAGGTGCGTGCAGGCCCTGCTCGTCCGGCTGAGAGGCAGGCACAATCTTGGAACTGTGTACAAGCTAAGTACTCTCAACGTTAAATGTAGAGCACAATGTATGTGCAGACGTGCAGTGTGACTTGCCCCAGTGGGGACTGGGATGGTAGGAGTACGGGCAGGGCTCGAGTCCTGCAGGAACGCATGGGAACGGCGTTCCTGCACTTTTTCCATAGCAGGAACGCCGTTCCCGTTACCTGTCCTGCAGGACCGGCCCTGCTACCTGCACTGAGGGGCCAGCACACGCTGTGTTCCCTCTCCAGCTATAACTCTCGCGAGACCCGCGGCTGTTACCATGGCAACGCTCCGCACAGGCGAGTCTCGCGAGAGTTAGAGCTGGAGAGGAAACACAG